TGCTGGTTAATAAAAATGGGAAGCGATTACATTTTGGTAGATTTGGAAGCCTGTGATACATTATGATGGCTGGCTGACATCATTTAGGAAAAGAGTGAGTGAGGCTGGTTGGCATATGTATAAAGTATTATTAACAATCCATAGCAGATTTGAACATTGATCTTTAAATACATGCAGACACTCACATGTGGTGTTAGTTTGGGTTAAAATAAATATCTTTTCTTCATGGCGCATCCTTATAACTGTAGTCTTTTAACACTGTGCCAGCCAACCCTAAAATAACATCAGGAATTTAAAAAAGAGAAAAAAATATTGTACAATACTGAATCTCTTTTTATCTAAGGACTTAAGATTTCATTTGCACCTAATTGGCTTATCTTAACATTTGATGCACCAGCGATATTCAACAAAAATTAAAAGTGTGCCATCCAACCTCAGTCTCCCCTAAAAAAGTTGTAAAAAAGCCACTAGAGCAAATGCAAATGTCAGACAATCACATGTGTCTTTTCTATTTCTCTTTGGCCAGATGCTTCCAGGTCGTGTTACTGTTCTACAGCCCATTACAGGTGCTTACAGTCTGCATGTGTTACCGATAATAAAACCATATATCAATTGGTAGTTCATAAATCAATGAAAGTGATTTGTGACTGACTCCTGTGTTTATGCAGGTGTTAGCAGTGGAGAATGTTAACTTTGGAGTACACGTAGAGAATCAGACAGGGGTGCGGGACGGCCTGAGCCGGAAACACCATCGGGTTTACCAACTATACAGTCGGACCAGTGGAAAACACATTCAGGTGCTTGGCAAAAAAATCACCGCCATGGGAGAGGATGGGGATAAATATGGTAAGGAATCATCTGAATGCATTGGTCAACCTGTACACATTGGATTAAATAACTGATTGCACACAGATAATAAAAAAAAAAATATTATGAGGATAAAATACACACACACACATATATATATATATATACTGTATACATTTTTTTTTTTACATTTTTACTGTCAATTTAGAAATTGACAGCATGCTCATCACAGGTGTATTCTATGCCATTGTGTATATGATTATCTTTTTAAACGTATTTATTTTAATGCACTTTATCCACACAGAAAATGAGCATCATTCACCCATATATCAAAATCAGTAGTAATATTTTGTTTAACAAGAAGTGTCATAAAATAGAAGAGACTGTAGTTGGTTGGATCAGGGTTCATTCATGGGTCATAATCAGGTGGTCACAAAATTGTCACTTTTGAGTATTTGCCCTCCTGATCCATAGTAATCGATTAAAACCTGTCGAGGTGAGGACAACTTTTTCATTTGTTATGCTAAAACAAAAAGTGTTAACTTTGGAGTACACGTAGAGAATCAGACAGGGGTGCGGGACGGCCTGAGCCGGAAACACCATCGGGTTTACCAACTATACAGTCGGACCAGTGGAAAACACATTCAGGTGCTTGGCAAAAAAATCACCGCCATGGGAGAGGATGGGGATAAATATGGTAAGGAATCATCTGAATGCATTGGTCAACCTGTACACATTGGATTAAATAACTGATTGCACACAGATAATAAAAAAAAAAATATTATGAGGATAAAATACACACACACACATATATATATATATATATACTGTATACACACACACACACACAATTATTTACACTATTTAAAATGTAAATAAAAAATAAATAATAATAAAAAAGTAAAACTGTGTTAGGCTAACCGAGACTTGTTATAGCACTTGCATATTATTGCTCTTTTGTTGGTTTTGATTGCTTTTATTTAAATATGAATTATTTATATTGGTTATTTTGTAAATAATTTATAAGAAATACACCACTTAATATACACAATAATTAATTAGGAATTTCATATATTTTAATTAGTTGTATAAGTTATATATGCGTGTGTTTGTGTAAAATAATTAAATATTTAAATATAAAATTGTATATATATATATATATATATATATATATATAAATAAATTTATAAATACAACAATTGTTCGTTACTACTTTTACTAATGCTAATTGAATAAATGTAAATGTATTTAAATACATTTATAAATATATATATAGTACATTTTTTAAGAGATCTAATTACCTAATTATCTAAAACCACTACCACACTTTTGTACTAAAACCTGAAGTTAAAAATCATCCGCCAACCATGGTTGTCTTGCTAAACTGTAATTTCTATGACAGTGCATCTAATGCATTTGAGTGTCAATTATGTTCATTTATATTCCTGTATGTTTGTATTTTTGTGTTTCTTCACAAGCCCAGCTCGTGGTGGAGGCCGACACCTTTGGGAGTCAAGTGAGAATAAGAGGAAAAGAGACAAACTACTACTTGTGCATGAACCGTAAGGGGAAGCTTATGGGGAAGGTGAGTTGCTGAGAAATGACTGTACTTGATATTGTAGGGTTAACATCCTTTAAATCATTCACGCCCCGATGAGACTTTCACACACTGATTTGAAACAACCTGAAGTCTCAGTGTGAAAACCTCATAAAACGCACATTTTGTTGGACTCTTGGTGAAGAAAGCAGGCAAAAATTAGCTTGTTTCACAATAATTCCAGTGAGATCAAAATTTAAGTAAGCTTTTTGCAAAATGAAATTAGAAGTGGCACCCAGTGTGGTCTTCCGCTGCTGTAGCCCATCTGCTTCAAGGTTCAATGTGTTGTGTTTTCAGAGATGCTCTTCTGCATAGCTTGGTTGTAATGAGTGTTTAATTGAGATACTGTTGACTTTCTATCCTCTTGAACCAGTCTGGCCATCCTCCTGGCTTTAAGGTATTTTCACCCACAGAGCTGCCACTCATTGGATATTTTCTCATTTTTAGACCATTCTGTGTGTGAAAATCCCAGTAGATCAGCAGTTTCTGAAATGTTCAGACCAGCTGTCTGGTACCAACAACCACCTCACATTTAAAGTCACTTAAATCACCTTTCTTCCTTGTTCTGATGGTCGGTTTGAACTTCATGCACATTGTCTTGACCATGTCTGAGTTGCTGCCATGTGATCAGCTGATTAGATGCATTAATGAGCAGGTGTACCTAATAAAGTGGCCGGTGAGTGTATAATAAACATGCCTCTTTTTAATGAAAATATGTACATTTTTCCATTACAGAAAGACAGCAGCGTAAACGGAGGCTGCATTTTCATTGAGATAATGCTTGAGAATAACTACACCGCTTGGATGTCAGCGCGCTATGTGGGCTGGTACATTGGCTTCACCAAAAGGGGCCGACCACGCAGAGGTCCGAACACGTTACCCAACCAGCGAGACGTGCATTTCATGAAACGCTTCCCTCCAGGAGAGCAGCCCGATCTGCAGCCCTGCAGCTTTACCACGGTCAGCAAGAGGAGCAAAAGAGTCCAGCAGACCTCCACTGCTCCTCCACCACTCCAGTAATACTACGAACACTGACTGTTGTGCAAAGATCACGTCTTACAGAGGATCTAGAGACGCTCTGTACAACGCAAGTAGGTTAGGCTTTAGGACCGACCTCTCGGTAGAAGTCACAGTTAGAGGACAGACAAGGTTGCTTAAACATTGTGTAATAATGCAAATATAACCAAAGACTCCTGGGCAAGTGTCCAGTCACTAAACCCTGACAACAAGGGGACCAAGCACTTCAGAGGCCAAAGAATTCCCCTCTAATGTCTAGTGCCACTATAAAAGAGCTCTACTTGCGTTGAGTTGTAAGGCTGGAAAACTGGCAAGTGCGTGGTATAATATGCATTAGTTGAGACTTTGCGACTTGGATGCTTATGACCAAAAGGGCAATTAAAGGACCTACTTTGTGAACTCATCAAATTCAACTTTGGGCCTATAAGAGCCATGAGATTGTAAACAAGAACCAAAGTCATTCAGAATGTATTTGTCAAGAAAATCTTATTAGACATCCTGGTGAACATGTAGTTTTGGTTTTGCCTCCGATATTTGACATTTCACCAGGAGTCTTGCATATTCTTCCAATGAAAAAGTGTAATTTAAAGGGAGTGATATACACTACCGTTCATATGTTTGGGGTTGGTAAGATTTTAAAATGTTTTTTGAAAGAAGCTCCTGTACTCACCAAAAACCGCATTTGATCAAAAATACAGAAAAAAAAACAGTAATATTGTGAAACAATTAAAATTTACAGTAACTTTTCTATTTTAATGTATTTTAAAATGTACTATATTCCTGTGATGGCAAAGCTGACTTTCCAGCAGCCATTCCACCGGTGTCACATGATCTTTGAGAAATCATTCTAATATTCTGATTTCCTCAAGAAATTTCTTGATTTGAATGTTGAAAACAGTTGTGCTGCTTCATATTTTGTCAAAATCGAAAGCCCAAAAGTACAGTATAACAGTCTTTAATATCACAATTGGTCAATTTAACGCATCTTTGCTGAATAAAACCTTAATTACCCTAAACATTCAAACGGTAGTGTAAATATAATTTGGCAGCACAGAATGTCAAATGAAATATTCTGACCACTAATAAGATGGTAAAATCCCCATAATCCACAAAAGAAAGTATGAAAAAGGGCATATAAACGAAAGCAAGCAAACACTAATCTGCACTGATGTTCATGGCGGTTTAAAACAAAATATCCATTACTGGCCACAACAGGAGTTGATATTCACTCTAGAGAGTTAAATTTATCAGAGTTATTTGAACTGACCCCGGAGCCTCCAAGCCTGCAAGTGTTGTAATGTTAAATGTTGCGGTTACGGTTGCAAACTACTCTGTCCCAAAACCACTTGGGGCTGGTGAAATCTTGAGATGAAATATTTTGATACTATTCGTGTTATTAAAATATTTATTTTGTGGATGCATTGATCAATGGGTTTCATCTTTTGACACCTTTACCCTGAACATTGGTGTATTTTGGGGTCCAAACTGTTTTATTGCCACCTGGTGGACCCAGAGGGTATAAAACTACAGCCCTAAAAGGCTGCAAACCATGTACAACCAGAATGTAAAACGAGAATGCAAACCATGTAAAACAGACTAGAACTAGTTTAACTATTATAGGAGTTCCAAACAATAAGAAAGCTAAACTGTAGAACAAAACCAAGATTTAAACACGAACTCTTTTAGGGGGTTTTCTGTATTCTAGTCATCTACTACATTCCGGATCAGCCATATTGGGCAGTAGTAGTCTCTCTTTCTCTCTCCCCCGTCTGCAGACTGACTTTGATCCTCCCTCTTTCTAATGTCTCCATCTCTCTCACATTACTTCTGTCTCACAATCTGACAGTAGCCTGCCATCATTCATTCTAATGCCTTATTTCAATGGAATTCCATTCTAAATTTCGCACAGAACGGAACTCTGTGATTCTTGAGATTTCAGACTAAAATATTGCTCTGCATTCAAAATTTTTTGAATTGCTACAGCACTGAACTTGGCTCGTATTGTGGCTGTTGCCATGGTGGCGTTCATAAGGAAAGCTGAAATCAAATAAGACGAAAATGACAGTACTGCCAATTTCCACATATTCGGAGCAGGAGGTAAACTTGAATATTTGAACAGCGGCCCTGTGATTTTTGGAGGTCTTGGTAGGCGTGGCAGGAGGTTAATGAAATCTGGGCCTGTCGGAAAGCCTTCATCTCAAAAGGGCGAATCATGCGTACACACACACACACACACGAAAAACACAACACGTTTATGCAAGCTTCTTATCACTCCTTCACAGTCAAGTACTTTATTCTTATTAATAACGCTTTTTTTCTTTAAAAAAAATCTTTTCAATATACAACACCATTTTAGACGAGACAATTCTGTTTACAACTAAATTCAGATCAGTTATGGGTCATTCAGAACCTAGACGAGCAGACAGTGAAAAGGGGAACGAGACGGACAGCGCTAAAAATTAGAAATGGAGGTACATATCAGGAGAACTACAATTATTCATACGATTTCACAAGAAAAGAAAATATGAAGTCAATTCCCCAACTAAAAAAAAAAAAAAGGAAAAGCATAAAAAAACAAAAACGTAAGACAGAAACCGAGGGGTTGACCAGCACACGTTACACGTCCCATCGCTCGCTCATTCATGCAGAACAGTCCCAAGGGAAGGAAGGCACTCAGACCTTGCCTTCTCCCTTTAGTTTTTCATCTTTTACTTTTTGAATCAATAAAAATAAAACAAACAAAAGATAGATACAGAGTTCATGTGCCCAGGGGGCGGAGCCGGGGCAGCCGTCACTCTGTACGTGGTGGCGGGGGTGAGAGGGGGGCTCCACGCCCACCCTTATGCTCTCTGCTTAATGGCATCGCTCTCTCCATCTTTTCTCCACCTCCTCCTCCGCAGAGAGGGAGAAAGAAAACTGACGCGGTTTGTGTCGTTTTGAGGGCGGCCCTCAAAACGACTGAAAAGGGGGAGAAATAAAACAGACAGATGGAGAGAGGAGGGTGAAGGGGAGGGGGGTGGTGGTGGTGGTGGCGTTCCTCGACCTTTGATCCTGGCACACTTCCACAGAGACTGGGTCACCTGAACAGTCCCCACACACATTCGCACACACTCCGCACGCCACCAGGGCTTCCCTGTCGAGAGATCACACGCATGCAAGTTTCGTATTTTGATGTGTGTGTGTGTGTGTGAACAGAGTTAAAACGTGTGCTACCTGCTATCTGGATATATAGGTATACGTGCGGGACGGCGATCGTCCTTCCGTCTGCCCGTTGGTCGACACGTTGAGGAAGTCCCAGATAAGGATAGTGTCATCGTGGGAACTGCTGATGATCTGGAACTCGTCGAACTGCAGCCGGAACACTCGGCCAGAATGTTCCTACACGCAGACAGACTATATTAAAACAATTCATCCACGACAACACTGCTGCAAATCAAAATCAGTCACAGACTGGGAATGACGTGACGCAAGACTATGGTGCTATAAATGTGTGACAATGCAGAGGGCTGAGGGCAACTACACATGACCGAGATGAGTAACAGACCAGAGACTCTTAGGAGTGAATAACACAGAGCAGTTAACTTTAGTCACAGAGCCATTAATCAGCTGATGTTTGGGCATTTGAGATTATTGCTACAAAGTGTGTTGTCTTGTACACATTTATAGATTTGTCCTTAAAACGAGGAGATGGAAACTCACCACTAGTGTACGTAGACACAGAGTGCTGGCTGGGGCTCGTGGATCGAGAGCAGCTTGTAGGTCCCATACTTTAATTTTACTGTGCACACACACAAACATATTAAAACACATTAGACAATGCACAAAAAAAAAAAATAAAATAAATTAACCATCATAAATCCATGGTACATCGGTTAAAATACCCTTTCTCAATCTTATGTTGTAAAGCAGCTCTAGAGGCGCATTTCACACATAATCTACAGATAATCGGTGATTCAATTGTGGGCTTTGTGGGATTAAAAGTGACTGCTCCCTCAGCTGTGTGGGTATTGTGCACTGCTCATGTATCAGATTAATGACCGGAGCACAGGGAGCAGACAAATGCAACTCCACAATTAAAGATGTGAGAATAAAGAGATTATTCACATTAAGGCCAGGAATAAACCAGCCATAATCCAGACCCAAAAAAAGATCTTACATTTAATCCCCCAGACTGCACTACGTTTCAGCAATGGCAGTGTGAGAAGGTAAAGGAAGGATTTTGCTAATGATTCATTTTAAAATGTGCATCTCAATTTCCAATGTTAAACTTTTTTTTTTTTTTTTTAGAATTTTTTTTAGAACTT